GCCACATATACAGGATGGGCTATTAGTAAGATGGTCTCTAAAAAGATCAGTATTTAATTGACTTGCCTGGTTTCTAAGATGACATAAAATGACGTTAAAAGAGCTAGTCCCTCCATATTTAAATGTATCCTCAGCATTGGTAATGATGATTATTCTGTAGGTTTTGGTTCCTTTTCGTCTGTTTATAAAAAGGGGTTTTATATTCTGTTGTCCAATAACAAGGATACATTCCCAGAGTTTGACTACATTAAACACTCTGACTTGCGAGGATGCATTGAAATGATAACGTTATATACAGTGGTATACAGGTGAAGCATAAAAATGGCATTTACTGACTGAGATGTGCGGCTGTAAACTACATTTGGAAAAAGAAGAAAAAAGTTTGTTGTCTTTTTTGTTTTCAACTCAATAAACCACACATTACACAATGCAATCCAGCAGACAGTCACAGGTGAAGGAATCTATTTTTAGAATGTACTAACCTGTATTTTGCCGACCCAGGTATTTTTATATATTTTTTTAATTTGTAACTTTGTTAATAAATCTTATAAAACTTCTATTTTGTTTTTGTAGAGTGTTATGACGTTGATACAGTCATCGAGAACAAAAAGCCTGTCTACACAACAAATATTACAGATATCCCAAAAGACCAGTCCCGTGACCGCAAATTACCCTGAACGCCATCTGTTATTCTCCGTCGCTGATTTTCTTGGTTTTTTGAAGCACTTCTTTGATGAATGCAGTAACGAAATTGCACTGTCAGGATTTGGATGTGCAATTGTTTAAAGACGCTATGCATACTTAGTTGTGTGGTAGGCCATCACCCTACATACGTCTTTGTTGTAAAGATAAAAACAGGAGTGCATCTAATACATTATACAATCTAATCTCATAAACGATGAAGTAGTTAAAGCGTCAATCACATTTGCCCACGGGATACCGAGTCTATTAATCTAAATTATGATGTGTGAATATCATTGGTCTAATTCATTTATTCTTGCATTTGGTATATATTATTAGAGTTATAGAAAAACATTGGAACTGTGTGTAATCTGGGTATTCTGGGTTTAGTGTTGGTTATAAAAACACTGGTTTGGAGGTCGGATTATAAATAAGCAGTTTTTCTTTTCCTGGTCATCTATTCTGCTCTTTAATTTGGAGGTATCTGATGTTTGGTTTCACATGGACCATATCTAGGTTGTAACTAACGCTATAGTCTATTAATGCTGTTTCCATGAAATAGGCAGATGTTTAGGTTACCTGTGTAGGTTACCTGGTCCATTGTGGGAATCTTCACATCGTATATTTTCCTTACCATTATGAGGGTGAGTATTCTTCAATGCGAGAACTGACATGTATATGTTATACTAGACAGTTGTCTGCAGGATAAACAGCTACATAGCATTTCTCCATCTTTATAGAAATAGAAAAACCATAGGATTGTCTATAAGTAAACATTGAAAACGGTTCCATTGACTGCATACGTCCCATGCCATTTTATCTTCAACATAAATTGTGTGGAATGAACATATGTACAGATGGAGAGAGTTTAGTTTTCCCTACTTAACAGTTTGGTCACTCCCACCTTTTGGTCTAGATGTGCTCATTCTATCAATGGTTCCTTGAGATATAGTAATTTGCATGTTTGTGTTATTTACACTCTTTTAAGTTACCTGTTTATGAGGAAAGGGAAACATTTGTCGCAGAAAAAAATGTAGTAAAGTTCAGGATTGTTGACTGTAACCTTAACCTTGAGTATGGTGTTGTATTTGTCTTGTAGCTGACTGTCAGTAATAGATTTGAGCAATTTAGTATTGAGCAGTTCAAAACAACCTGCACTACACTATTACTTTAGCTGGGTACCAATTTCTTTCGATATTATGTTGATGAAAGGACTTTTGAAAGACGATGCTGTTGTGTTCCTATGGTTGTTTTCGACTGAATGATAACAAGGTTACGCTGGGGTTTTCGTGACAACTTCACTGGAAGTTGGTATGGGCGCCGCCATTGTGGATTAACACACTGCAGACAACAGTCGGGACAAATTGCTAGCAAACTCACATAACAAACTCAAAAAAACATGTAGATTTGTAAAGTAAAGGAAAATGAGCTTTAAACATAGACAATTATTCAAGCTAAATAGAAAAGGAGGATTTCAAATTTATCTTAAATGAAATACAACATCTTTCCATCAATGAGAGAGAGAAACTGCATTGCAAAATCTTGAAATGTCTACAACATACGTAAAATGACACAAGCCAATGGTGTAATATGCCAGACCAATGCAGGATGTAGGAAATTATGCTACTTTCAAAAGTAAAGAATAAAGGTGAACAATTACGAATCTCCTTCCAAAGATGAATGTAACACACACACGAAAGCACGGAACTTGGCAACTATCATTCAGTATGTATCATTGATTTACAAGTAGACTTTGAAGATGAACATAATATGATAGGTTCAATTGAATTTAATTAAAGGTCATTTCGTAAGGATCTCTGATCAATCAATTTGTCTTTTTGTGCACCTATACCATGAATTTGTTGGCTACGAGTTGATATTTATCAATTTTTCAGCGGTTTATTTGGTAGATTTTTTTCTGGAAAAAAGAGAGTTTCGGTCTTATATTAAAAACGATTCCATGGAAGTTTTATAGAGTACACTTTTAATTCATCTCTGAATCTCTTTGTACGTTAGCTTCTTGATGACGCGGAAAAAAATCAATTAAATAAAATATTTCAAATAAAGACAATTATTTTCTTCTTCAATTTTCTTTAAATATACATATATTTGTAACAGTATACTTAATGTTTTCCTTTTTATCTCTCTTGTACCAGGACTCTTGCTGCCATGAGAAATGTCGACTGCTGATGGACAAACTTGCAACACAAGATTTCGAGAAAGTTATTGGAAGGTTATATGGTGATAAACTCGTTGGAAAATATATATCTTACAGTGATATGAAAGTCTATGCTTTTAATTAGGTTCATAAGTGTGGGTTGTTTCGTTGGTACAGCCAAAACTGTTGATCAGGGGATTCTACGTTTTTTGGACCTAGATTTACATGTCGATAAAGCACAGGACATGTATCCTTCTGGAACAACTGGTCTTATCATCTTTGAACCTCAATGTCTATTTACAATCAAAACAAGTTTTACCTAGGAAACATTATCGTGGTAGTGACGTTCACCGGGAAATGAAGGCATGGACATATAACTCGTTATTCATCGCCACAAAGTGTCATCACAAAGACATGGAAATAGATTCGAACATCCTGTTGGAATTTGATTAACACGCTTTTATTCATTTGAGGTTTAATAAAAACTATTAAAGGTGTCAAAATGTTATATACCTTGTTCTATGTGATTGTCCTGCTAATGTCGTGATATTCTCAATATAGTAGTGTATTCTCAAGATGATAGAAAAGAGAATGTTGTAACACATACTAATATTACATATAAACAAATTGTTCTTTGCTTTTGAAAACAAATATTGATAATCGACGAAAGTTTGAATAACAATATAAATAAGATGAGAAAACAAAAAAGCTAAAATTTCGTGAAAAAGAAATTTTGGTTTATCATTTTCAAATAAATATATAGACAATTTGATCACAATTACCGGAAGCGTAGAGTCACAGTGCCTGAAGGGCGGTATAAACACATGTTTGAAATAGTGACTGATAGATGATGACCTTCGTCAGAAAATTCTCTTTATTAATCAATTCGTATTTCATATACCAGAAATTATATAAAGCAGCGAGTATGGGTGATAGGCTGTCATATCAATGACGTTTATGGCTTATGATACGTACAAGCTGCCTCGGGCAATAAGCCGCGTTAACCACACATTGTTTCTTAATATGACGTCACAAGTTCGAAATCCATCAACAACACGTATTTATCAGGAGGACTTGATTAAGACAGGATGAAGCAGCAGAAATCGTTGAAAGGTTTAACAATTGTATCACTGATTCTACTTACTCTCGTGTTCCAAGGTATGTATTTTCAATATTAGAGTAAAGATGGTCCTTGATACATTGGGCTGTAGATAGTCGAACGGTGTGTAATGTGTATCATGGTATAAATGTGTATAGGTGTGTAAATTTATGTCTCATATCTAACACATGTATATCTGAAGATTCATGGATGAATGGAATATCATCCATATACAAATATGACATACATCAAGATGATTTTGGAAGACCTGTTCACGACTGGTTCTAAACAGAGTTAAGAAACAGTTTATCTTGCAATAATACAGTCAACCATTACCCTTCCGAAACTTTTTTGCTTTCGTTTTTTATGGATGTTTTTGATATCTTTTTATTATTTTAACTTTCGTGTCTGTGTTTTATGGGTTGTCTTTCCGTTTTTATTATGTCAATGTGTGGTGTTTGTTTTTTGTTTTTCTTAAAAAGACAAAAATAAACATTAAAAAAAATGTATCGCAGTAAATAGTAATATTGTTTCTGCATATTAATATGTATGTAAATATATGCATATATGTAACATTCCTAGAATGTATTTGTCGGAAAGCATGGTCGGGTTTTCAAGATTTATTTGTAAATTAAGCAAAAAAAGTAGAATTTTGATAAATATTAGCAAGCTAAAACCCCGAACAAATAGGAACTTGGCCGATGTGTATTGGCTGTGTGTTGTTGACATGGTTAGTGTTTAGATGCATTACGCCCATGACAGATGTGACCTTTGACATGAGCGATACTTCTTCTATTAACTGCTTAACATATCCATCAAGGACCTGATCCTGGAAGCCTAGTAAGCTTATAATGAACTTATAATGATACACCGTAGTGTTACCGCTTTCGAGATTAAAGATAAATTTATGAGATGTATCAAGATATATTGGGTTCTGCGTTTACCGCTTATAGCTATAATAAACACACTAAACTGGAAAGTAACATTACGTATATCACGTCAGTGTTTATTTAAATATACAAAGGTAATATTACAACAAAAACAAGGCAATGGAATATTCTATTTTGTAAACACATTTAACATAATATAGGAAAAAAGAATCAACTGATATGCATAACAATTTGTAAAACAATGAAATGTATATAAATTCAACTTTTCAAGCTTTAAAGGAAATCCTAGTCCGTTACAGTGTTAATAGTATTACGTGTAGTAGATAGTATCCGTATTGGTCGGTTCACGGTTTAATACTAACTAAACATATTGTTTCACTGTATACAATTAATCAAACAAGAAGTCATGCCTGAATTTCCAGGAAAATGTAGTTTTCATGTTAGAGCAAAGTTGTTACGATGATTGCAGATCAAGTCATCCTCGATACTCGAGGGGTTACGCTTACTTTCGCTCTCTGCATCCCCGGAATATAAGGTTAATATCGCATTTATCCATTTATCTCAATATTATTCATTTTCTATTTCCAAGCTCAAAGCACTTAGTACGACTGGAAGTTTATGTGTGCTGGGCTGGTTCGGCGAAGCCATGAGAAGTTCAAATACCCAAGATACCCTTGCAAAACAGGGTTAATAAATTAGGCGTCGGAGAGGTCTAGCTTCAGCAATTAACCTTGCATTCAAAGTATTTTATCCATTCGTCAAGAAAAATATGTAGTCGTAACAGCTGACGGCATTATGTTTGTTAAACTCATTTTGTAATCTGATGATATCAAAATATTTTTGGTAGTTCAACTTATCCCAACCGAAACGTCAATAAGTATGCGTTGAAATCGTTGGCTGAATCAAATTGGACCCTTGAGATTAAGAAGGTAATTTCCAGAAAACAAACTAAAATTCATTTCTATGACTTACGAAAATAATGAAAAAATTAATCAATAATGTCAACAGATTGTTAAACAATTTGGAAGAGGAATTGTGTTTCATTGCGCGACATGATGTTTTACAGTTTTCGCCGAATCGACATTACCATCCATAGGAGTCATCGCCAACGCGACGGTGGATGAGGGAGATGATGTTTACTTAGACTGTCCCATAACCAACAAAACCGCCGCTTCCAAGGTACCACCAGTTAATCAGCACTATATACTCAGCACTAACATGACACTTCCCTGTACTTAATCGGTATCTTCTCAGTAATCAGTTTTAGATTTTGATGAATATTGTCGAAACCTGTTTCGACTTTTTTTGCCAAAATTTCCATAATTTAGATTTTGCGTAAGTGTTGAAATTCATCCCAATATATCCCCCGTATTTATACTTGGTGGCTGATCATTTGCATTGGGCTTCCTGAGGTATAAATCATTCTAGCATGAAAATCAAAAAGAAAATAAATTAACCTTTTTTTCAACATTATGTTATGAAAGTTATTTAAAAATACTATATCAATCAGTATCTTTCAAGGGAAGTGATATTTGGCAGGGACGTTCATGAGGGGTCAACATTTTTGTCAAATCATATTTGTTTCAACAGTGTGGATTGAACTATTTTTCAAATAGGAGATATATGATGTTCTCAACAGCTTTTGTAATGTCTTCCTGCCTCACATTCCACAGGTCCAATGGTTTAGGGTGCTGCCAGGCTACCTTCATATCAGCAACGACGGATCTCTCGTGACCAAGAACACGGAGAAGTATGGCGTAAGGGCCACAACTACCACTTCGGTCAAGCAACAGGAATTGAACACGGTGACCCTGATTATTAAGCACGCGAGCAATGCAGACGTTGGCAGGTACAGGTGTCGTGTGCTCATCTCCCAGGTGTCCTACCCACGTTGGCCATCTAAGGATGCATTTGTCAGTATTGCAGGTATGGTATATTGTTAACAGGGAACCCCATCGAGTCGAAAATCTAGAAATGATTCATAACATCAACTTTCCTGACAAAGATTTTTCCAAACATATTCCAAACCAGTTTATGATATACTTTTTGTTTATTAATTTTGTTATCTTTTTTTTCATTTCATATTTTGCTTTCTGGTTAAAAGCAATATGGACTTTCACAAAAAATCATATTCCACCAAATTGTCACCTGCACTTTGTCACCACAATTTTATCACATCAATTTTGATCCAATTTAACAACCCGATTCATTACGTCGGTGAGTAATGCATCCTCATCAATAACGAGTTATGTTAAGGTTGAATCCCTAGTGTAAGTGTAGTTGTGAGTATTCAAATAAAATACAATACAAATATAACATGAAATGTTAATTTTATGTACACGTATACAAGTTTCCTGATTAAAATTGTAAAAGCATAACAGTATGTTACTGTAAGGTATTTACATAACAATTGTATTTTATTTGTCGTTATATGAATAGCGCCACCTATGATTCTGTCTGTGAGTAACACCAAAATGGTGTCCGCCGTTGGCGAAGACGTCACGTTAACCTGTAGAGGTTACGGAGCACCCGAGCCCACCATCACGTGGTACAAAGGTGACGCGGGAACCAACATAATGGGACACGTGCGTTTACCATTATTATTTCGTTATCAATCACTGATGTCAATAATGAGCATTTTATTTGAAATTTTCTTGATGCCACAAATTCTTACAATTATAAATGGTATTTTAATAGATTTTGAAAATTTCATTTCCCGAAAAAAATATTCATATGACCAATTACTGAATATTTTTACCTAATCATATTTTACTTTGAAACAATAAATCTGTCTTTTTATCTGCATCCTGATCTTATGTCTTGTACTGTGTAACACAATGGACGTGTTTCAGTGATACATATTCACCGGTGGGCGTAAGGATATGGCATTTAGCTTAATATTCTGTTGTTGCTAACTCTATATCGCAGAGCATTTCTTCTTAGATATGAGATCGCATGTATTTGAGTGTTTATTGTTCGTCTAATAACCTAACTTAAACAGCGTGTTCTGATCACCATGCAGACATACTCGTATAGACTTTGAAAAGTATTTTCTTAACTGATTAAAATGTTTGAACTGCGTTGGTTTTGGTAATTGCATCTTCAGAATACCACAGTTCCGCTATCGAGATATTTATATCTCCCCA